CGTCTGCGCTCTCTCACCTTATCAGCGGCTCATGACCACTGTGATCTCACACATTCAAACTTTTGCCACACTGTAATTGGCTCACCCACCTCGGAGTCCCTCCCCTACAAGGCTTAGTCCTAGGGCTCTCACCTCCCTCCTTGGGATTTGGAGCCGAGCCAGGCGCCGTTCTCTAATCGTCTGTGCTCTCCGCCATTCGTGGCAGGACCATAGAAGAAAGTTCAAGTAGTCCGTAAACCCTGAACCACTACCAGATTAAAGGGGGCCGTCGTCTCTTGTGGTGTATGGTCTACACCCGACGCTCTTCTCGTTATTTGAAAGGGAGGGTACTTGCACTAATGCCACAACATTTGTCCATGGTGTAGGTCTTCTTGACCCTTCGGCTCCCTCGGTCTTTCTTGTACCTCATAGGCTTGTTGAAGGTGAAACACAAACCAAGTTAGAAGAAAACACTTGCAAATGGTCCGATCTCGCCTCTATGATCCAGAAGTCGAATTTCCAGCACACAAGGAAAGTGTCTATCACTTCGGAGTAGGCTAATGTATACTATGCTCGTCTGGGAGGACGAAAATATTTAGTAATGCAATCCCTTGTCCTAACTAAGCGTAAGCATCAAATACGCCTTCTAAAACCACCACTGCTCTAGCGCGGAATTCTTGGCGCATCACAATGGGAAGTAATCGCGACTGGTATGGTTGCTGTAGAAGGCGGACTACACGATGCCCCTTGGAGATGAATGCAGAGGTGGTCCATGCAGATATGAGAAAAACGAGGAAAACGGCCTTTTCCGGTGGATTTCCACGTATGTGTGAGTCTCATTGGTGCTGAAGTACCGTTCTGCTCTGCTCCTCTACCAAACGACTATTCACCGCGGCTAGAGTACGATGGCGAAAGGTTAGCCAGTCGACGGGCGTGCAGAGTCGCGAGTGCACGGCACGGCCCTGGTAGGCCGCTAGGAGCGTACAATTCGCTGCAAAACTTGCGCTCAGAGAACCTGACTCTAGTAGACTGTTTTCTAACCGATAAAATTTCTATTGTGCACTTGAAGACAGTGTTAACCATTCGTTGGGAAATCTTTGGCTTATTAGTACGCCTAGAGAATCGTCCACCAAAAAAAATCATTGTTCTATTACCCAAACGAATCATTGGCCCATCTTTCTAAGAACGAAAAGAAACAATGCGTTTGTTTTGGTAAATAATTTGAAGAACCGGAAGGACTATCGCGTGTTCAAATTTCCGCCGTACATCTGTCACAAGTGCTGGTAACGGCAACCATTTCGCTTGGTTCTCGGAATGCCTTCACTAGGACTCTTTTTGACCTTTTCCCATTCCCAACTTTAGCAACATTTTTTCTTTTGCTTCTATTCTATTGACCGCTTTATCTCTATTCTCTAGAATCGAACGCTTCAACCCGATTTTTCAATGCGGCGCCTGATAGGTGGTCGCCTCAAGGTGCACTTCTTTCCATGCATTCCCCTGTCTCCGCCCGACCTACCCGCGCCCGTCCTGTGGGTGTGGTTTTCGTAGGTTTGTGAATTTTTCGTGAGAAACTTTGTAGTCGTCTTTAGTGATCACTAGTGACGGTTGATGAACAATGCGAGGATTTTCTCCTTTTAATGCTTCAAAATATTCGATGCTAGCTGTGTAAAGTTCTATCCTGGATATGCGTTTTTTACCAGTGACTCACAGAGGCAGGGGAGCGACTCCAACGACATAATTGTATTTAGAAGACGATATTTTTTTGAACGACGAAAAGAGGTTCGATTGGTTTGGGGGAAAAATTCATCAAACAAGTTAAAAATCACAGATCATTGAAATATATTACGAGTCCACTATTATTCCTCATCTTCTAACTTCGAGTTGCTTTCGTGGATGGATTTGTGTTGGAGATCGTCGACGTCGTGATAAATCGGCTAAGCAGAGGTAGGCTTTGTGAGAGTACATCAGCACCAGTGGAAGAAAGACTAGCGCATGAATAGTCCCTGAAAATGGTAAGTAATAGGTTATCACAAATAACGAGGAATAGGCATTGATAAGCGCTAATAGGGGGCGGAAGTGGTGTAGTGGCAAGTGGCACGCTTACCACGCGAGCGGTCCGGGGATCAAATCCTGGGTCGTGAGTCGCCCGGGCCAACCAAGCCTTCCATCCCTCCGGGGTCGGTTAATTGGTACCAGACTTGTCTGGGAGGATAAAAACACTGACTTGTACATCGGCTGGCCCCCGCAAGTCATTGTATAGGCCACATCGCATTCAAACGCCACTACGAATGTACAAATGGAAGTAGAATGCGTGCCGCATCCCAAAAAGGGATTGATCAACGGCAAATGCTTTATCCTTATCCTTTATTTCTCTCTTGGGATGCGCCACGCTTTCGACTTCAGCTCGGAGTCGTAATGGAGTATGAGTGAGCACTGGCTTATATAGTGGCTTGCGAGTGTAAGCGCCGATAATGTAGGAAGTTGAAGTAGGGAAGTAAGTGAGAAGAGGTGGTCCCTTTAGTCTGAGTGTTGCCCTCTCAGACTTAAGGGGTGCTAACATACGATAGGGGTCCGATTCAACGGATCTGTTTGATTCTAGATTCAATCAGTGTCAGTCCCTGTTTCGCTGAGTTCCAGATTACTTCGAGGTCCCCCTTCCCGAACGGGACCCCTACCCTCTCTAACGGTTTATTTATTCATCTATTTATCTGACACTGATTCTCCAATTCATTTCCACACTCCATTTCTGCCCCCATTTCCTCCAAAAAGGGTCAAAGGATACAAGCCCTCACTCATTCAGTTATTTTACATGCTAACTCTCTTGATGGGGATATCCCAACAGACTTTCAACCTTGAATTCGATCCTCGTGCACATGTGCAATAACGGCGCCACTAACCATTGATTCCCAATTCTAATCAGTAAGCTCACCAAATGTAATAACAAGTAGGACAGTTTTGAAGCAGGTTTGTACGACATAACTGTCAACGAATGCAAGTGAAGAGATCCCAAGGAGAACGGACATCGACGCCTGAGTGATTGGCCAACCCACAGTGCCGAGCGTTGACTGTAGACGGGAGAATGGCGCACTGGAATCATTTGTCGATTGAACAGGGTAAAGCATTAGTCCCTTGAGGTAAAAAGGAAAGGGGATTACAATGCATAACAGATAGAGTAGTAGAAAATAACCGGTATGGAGCTGGGCCCCGAGAGTTGCAGATATTTTCAGGCTTGACTTCACAAAAGTCATTCCTAGTCCAGGAGGGCAAAGGTAGGAGCTGTTCCCCGCCTAATCCATATTTCCCAGCCATTAAAGTTGGCCACCTAAGCGATTTTTCCTGTGTCCATTCCGATTACCGTAAGCCAATCTCTGGGCCAAGCAGCCGTTCAAACATAACTCTTCATGCTTCTGAGCGAATCTAATCTGCTGTGTGACGCTTTCCTTAAGGAAATGTTTCAAAAAGGAGTTGCTAAGTTTTGATTAACACCTGTGGATTTCGCCATGGATTAGATTTTCGCTTACTGCGTATTCGACCTGCACTATAACATTATGCGTCCCTCTTGATGACAATGTCAGTCTTCCTCTTCCTGCCCAGATAGGGCTGAGATTCCATTAAGGGCAGAATGGGTTATTTTCTACGAGTTCTTCGGAGGTATTATTCACGATAGTCGTAAGGTTCACAGATCTTTTAGCTCATCTATCTAGGGAAGGAAATATGAGTTTAGAATAAAACTCACTTTTTCTGGTCACCGTCCTCAATCTTCTGTGTCATGAATGCGTATGAGACGTGAGCGGCGAAGTCTGCAAAACAGCACTATCTTTTCGGGACGCTTGCAGTTTCGTCTCGCTGAGAGTTGTTGAGCAACTGCAGAGACCGTCAAGCTGTTTCGGTTCCTATATTCGTGCATGCCCATTTACAGGCAATCTGTTATTATGAAGGTGGCTTCAAATGGTTTCGAGTACCAGATGACTTCGGGCAG